GGGTGGTTGTTGATTTGGAGAGGGGGGGATTTATGTGGGTTGGGGGTTATTGGAATTTTGGGGGTTGGGGGTTGTGGGGTGGTGGTTTATTTTTGTGGATTTTTATGGGTTTGTGGGGGGGGGTGGGGGGTTGGGGGGGGGGGGGTGTGTTTATTTTGTGTGTGGGTGGGGGGTGGGGGGGGTGGTTGGGTTGTTGGTTTGGGTTTGTGGGTGGGTTTTGGGTTGTTTGGGGGTTGGGGGTTGGTTTTTGTTGTATGGTGTTTTGGGTGGTTGTTGGTTGTGTTGTTTTTGGGTTGGGTTTGGGGGGGTTTGGTGTTGGGTTATTTTTGTGGTTGTTTGTGGGGTTGGTTAGGTTGGGGGGGTTGTTTGTTGGGGGGGGTTTTGGTTTTTGGTTAGTTTTTGGGGGTTTTTTTATGTGTGTTGGTTTTTTTTATTTGTGTGGTTTGTGGGTGGTTTGTTTTTTATGTGGGGGTTTTGTGGATATTGTTTATTTGTGGTATTTTTGGGGGTTTGGTGGTGTTGTGGGGTTTTGTGTGGGTGTGGGGGTGTGGATGTTAGTATGGGGGTTGGTTTGTTGTTGTTGGGGTTTTTGGGGTGGTTTTTGGGGGGTTGGGTGGGGTTTGGGGGGGGGGGGGGGGGTGGTGGGTGGGGGGGTGTGGTGTGGGGTGTTTTGTTGGTTTGGGGTGTGGGGGGGGGGGTTTGTTTTGGGTGTTTGTTTGGGGGGGGGGGTGGGGGGGTTGTGGGGGGGGTGGGGTGGTGGGGGGTGGGGGGGGGGGGGGGTGGGGTTGGGGTGTGGTGGTTGTGGGTTGTTTGTGTGGGTGGGTTTTGGGGGGGTGTGGGGGGGTGGTGGGTGGGGGGGGGGTGGGGGGGTGTGGGGGGGGGGTGGGGTGGGGGGGTTGGGGGGTGGGGGTGGGGTGGGTTGGGGTGGGGTGGTGGGGGGGGTGTTGGGGGGGTGGGTGGGTGTTGTTTGGGGGGTGGTGTGTGTGTTGGGTTGTTGTTTGGGGGGGGGTTGGGGGGTGGTGGTGGGGGGTGTTTTGGGGGTTTTGGGGGGGGGGGGTGGTGGTGGGTGTGTGGGGGTGTTTGGGGGGTGTGGGGGGTGTGGGGTGGGGGGGGGGGGGGTGGGGGGGTGGGGTGTGGTGTTGTGGTGGTGTGGGGGGGGTTGGTGGGGGGGGGTGGTTGGTTGTGTGTGGTGGGGGGTTTGGGGGGGTGGGGGGGTGGGTGGGGTGTGTGGGGGGGGGTGTGGGGGGGGGGTGGGGGTGTGTCCTTGGGCAAGACACTTAACCCCACTTTGCCTGAAGCCCCCCTAAAAGTTCAGGGCTCCTGTGGACTCAGTACCTGCAGGAGGATCAGTGAGGGGCTGGTGCTCTGTGTAGGTCTGACCCAGAAATGGATTAAGGGGAAGAAGATGGATGGATGGATAACAATCTTTATTATTAAGTAAAGATATGTGAAAGTGTGCTCTGCCGGTGTGAAACAAAGAAAACTTACTAACTTATCAGAAAAAACAGTGCCATTTGTTGACCTTGTAAAATGTTTCTCGGTTGCCAAAAAAGCATTGAGCATTCAGCATTTTAGTTTATTTTTTCATCTATCTTTAATGAACCATCTTCAGACTGGAGTTCTTTAAACCAACACCTCTCATCTCTCACTGGTGTTTACTGCCTCCCATTCTCTTTGTCTTGCTGTACTTTTTCTGTCTCTTTCCACTGCTGACATATTGATTCCATTTTCATTCACGCCGCAGTTGTTCTCTGTGTCATAAACCATCAAAGCTACCTCTTTTCAAGCAGATATTGATCAACACACAACCGATCACAACCAATCACCAGCTCCTCTGCTCCATTGTTGCATTGTGAGCTTGACAAACTGTACTTTTCTTTTTTTTTATCTGCCGTTGCTGAAAAATTACAGGCAAGGTGCATTTTGGGTTTGGTGGTTTAATTAGACTTGTCTTTTTCACCACAAACGCTGTGTTGTAATAAATAGCACTTTCTGAAGCCGATTTTAAAAATTGTGTTTCAAGCATTTGAAAATAAGGCTCTTTTGTTTGCACACAAATTATTCTGGCACACGTGTACTTGTTTGCAACCGGAGGAAGACCATGCTTGGCCAAACACTATATCAATATTGTTATTTTCTAATAAAGGCCTTTGAATTACTTACTAAAACCAAAAGGTGCCTTGGATTTCATGGATTCTTTGGATCCTTCGATGTCTGCTCTATCATTGTGAAGCAAGAATCACCAAGTGTTGGATTGTTCTCGCACTAATGGAGAACGTGAGCTGGGTTTAGACCGTCATGGGAAGGTTGATGTGTTGTTGCAATAGTAATTTTTTACCTCATTTTTTTCCCTTTGATGTAGCGTACAAGGGAGTACTAAGAATTCCTGTTTTTTTTTTTTTTACACGGATATATATACTTATATATGGATTAAAGGATTTTAAAGTAATAGATTACTCAATTAATCACGGAAAATGATCTGTCAATTTCTAAAAAATCAATACCTGCAGCCTGTATGTATAATTTGTTTTACTGAAGTAGTTTGTGCTTAATATTTAAGGATCACCTGTAAAAATCACTTTCAAATCTTATTTGTTTTATCATATGTCCACAGGTATGTTTTTATGTTATCTTATTTGAATAAGTACTCTAAACATTACTGTAAATATACCAATGTATAATTCAATATTCAGCACCTCTATCCAGCGACCACAACGATGACTGCACCTGCTCCTTTTTGACCTACTTTGCCCGCCGCTGTCACTTTCCGGTCGCTCTCCAGTGATTGCGAAGACATAACCTTTGCGTCCACTTTCTGCCCCATCATTCCCTACCTTTTGTCACGCTGTATTGCTCGATCAAAGGCCTGGGTCAGCCACAGTTGCCTCTTTTCATTGTGTCCTAGTGGTCCCTGGAAAAAAACCTCACCCAGTAACTTTTTTGATGCCTCAGGGTGCGTGGTGCCGGAGGCGAGGATGCTCCAGATTGGCTCTTCTGGGAATCTTTTTGGGTAGCTTTTGTGGCCCGCACTTGCTGTTCTCTGACCTATTCAATCACCAGAAGGCCTGCCCCCCTAGACCCTGCACTTGTATGCACTCAGGGGTCCCGGATAATTATACAACACAAACCTTGCATTGTAGCATCTTGAAGGCCGTCCAGTCTGCCATAAGCACACTCAGTTGTCTCTGTTGTTGTTGTTGTTGTGTGTATTTTTTTTTTTTTTTTTTTTCATTTCAATTTCATTCCAATATTCTGGTCAGCATTTCTATTGTCAGTGACACACGCACAGAGAGAGATTTTGTATGAGTTGGACCCCCTGTCGGGATAAGAGGGGGCAACAGCGGGGCGTTGAGGCGGGTCTTTCACCGGCTTTTGTTGTGGCCGAGCAGCCGCAACATTATCGGAACGCTCTACTTTGTCCCGGTGGTTCTTTTGTGTCCTGTTGTCAATCCATCTCCCTCTCCTCCTCCCTTTCTGTTTTTTGTTTTTGTTTTTTTCGTGCAGGGTTCCAGCTTCTTTTGTAATAGCTTGGCAATTCAAACCCTGCAAGTCCCGAATAGATCGATCTCTTTCTTCTTCTGTGGCCTTTTGTAAATAAATAAATAGAATTGTGTTATTGCGTGTTCCCAGCGAGCCGACTTGACAACTTCACTTTCACGGCAAACTTTGAAATAGCTTTTTAAATAGATGTACCACAGTTATTTGCCTATAGTACAACCATTATAATAAACAGTACTTGCATTGATGTCGTGACATAAACCAAGAGAAAATCCACAGAAGATACAGACCATAGGGAACGACTTATCAACGTTACTTTTTGAGTCTCGGCCAATAATTGCTATGGCGTTGACCTTTTCCAGGGAGTTGTATTTTGTTTAGTTTACGGGTCATCTATGTATTTGAGATGCTGATTTTGAGTTGGTGTAAATCATTTTTACACTAGTTATTTTTGAATTCCAATAAATACCAGTTGTCTTTTGCTTTTTGCAGTCACCAGAAGAAGGGACATTTCAATATGGCCTCACCTATACTTGACAGCTTTGTGTAGAGCTATGGATGGACAATACTTATAGCACACAATAATATATTTAATTTTCAATAATACGAGTTCAATTGCATTTTCCCTTGTGAAAAAAATATAAAATGAACAATGAACAGGGAAGCTAAAAGAAAAAAAAAGTTGTAAGTAATTTTATAAAACATTTTGTGGTTGGTGAAAAGAGACACAGCATGATCTAGAATTGGATGTTGCTGTGGCGTGGTAGACCGTAACACCTTTTATTAAAATAAATATGAGTGACAATGGGATGAGTCTCACCTCTAAGTCACAATTACTAATTACTAAGTGTTTTTTCCTCTCCTCAGTCAAACATGTCTGGTTCATGCTCACATTCATACGCATTAGTTGTTGGATGCAGTTTCAAGGTAAAAACAAGCCATAAATGTATCTTCTCAGATTACATCAATCTCTTTAATATTGTTTATTAATTCATCCACTCGCAATCGTCTTTCAACTGCATTTAGCGCATTGCTACCCAAAGTGTTCCAGACAGCTGATTTGGAGGGCTGACCAAAATGGAGCTTGTTAAAAGATCCAATCTTATCTGTACGTGTTCCCCTGCACTTTCTCCCCATCTCCATCCCTTCATCCCTCAGCACTGGAGTGGTCAGGCCTATCAACCACAGCAGCTCAGTCTATCACCTGGGAGCCCCAATTGCCTGTCAGTCATCAGATAAAATGGATTTCCAATTGAGTCAAGGCTCCCAAGCTGCGGCAGGCCGAATGGAGAACAGGCAGAGCGGCGCTGCAGCACTCCTCTCTCAGTACTTGCTGTTTGTTATTTGTTTTCTCCTACTGTGACGCCCTCAGCCCCTCCCCTCCGCCGCGCTGATGTGATCCGTATGAAGTGAAAATGTGCTGCTTGTAAAAGCCCACATACCAATGTGCCATCGTGGAGCCAGTGTCAGCTCAGCCAGTGATTGCTTTGAATCAGACTGGACCTGCAATTAGAACAACGGGTGGTCCAGCTATTAATGGGGGGACCGCTGAGTTGTAAACAATAATTTGGAGGATGAGTACATACAGTTTGGGGAAAAATATTCATGGTTTTGGTAAAGAAGGGATTTTGAAAATGTTTGTGAGCCTTAAAACTCTTTGAAAGTTATTCAGACACCTTTTAAACATGTGTTCACAATACATGAAATTAGTGGGATAATAACATTTGTGTCTAATGGTGCAAAACCCAAATGTAGTTTGTTTGTATGTTTGTATGACATAAACATAAAGATTGATGTCTGTTTTTATGGTGTAACAAGAAACACATTTAAACTGATGTCTCTCTCTCTGGGTTTAGGGAAAATCGAGGCCTTGATACCAAGTCCCCAGTGTTTCCAATAGTTAAGATTTCACAAATGGGGCTCTTGATTTTATAAGCACATTTCTCTTAATATTATTAATTCATTCAATGAAGAAAAAAAACATGCAGAGAATTAGTTTACCATAGATTTGTATGCAATGAGAGGTTTCATGTGGCTGGTCTCTCTCATTAGATAATGTTAATACTAGCCCTTGGCTATCATCACATGTACTGTTGCTTTAGCTACGGTTCAATATAACTTCAAATAAAGAGGATCGGAACGGTCATTGATGTGGAAGGTCAATCTCCCTGCATCGATTTGTGTGCCGTTCTCTTTCATTACTGTATAGTTCAATAAGCTCTGAGATCAATGTTAAGTCGCCTGCTGTAGTACATTGATTAGAGTTTGATATTGGAGCATGAAAGCGCATTAATCTGGACTGGTTATCATAGGATTTGTTTGCCACACTCTGTTGTTGTGAGCCTGATTCTTTTAGAAGGGTTTGTGGAATACTCTCTGGGTTGTGTGAAGACTCACATCTCAGTGAATGAAAAATGATTTTCTCTTCTTTACATTATTGGTTCCTGCAGTGCTTAGGTACTTATGTATTTTTTATGTAACAAAACTAACTAACCTTTTGCAGCATCTGTTATCTGTAATGTGCACAGAAATGTCTCCACTGTGGGACGAATAAAGGCATATCTTATCTTATTTTTTTATGAAGTTTCTCAGCAAGAAACACTACCAGGAGGTAATGTGTTCACCGTCTCTGTCTGTCTGCCTCTCTGTCAGCTGGCACATCAGCTCAAAAGGTTATGGAGCATCTGGGCACAACCTCACTCTGATCGGGGTCTGGTCTCTGTAGAGAAAAACCTGTCTGTGTTTTGAGGAAAGTTATGAAGCTGTGAAACCGCTTTGTACTCGCTCCGTGACCCTGGAAAGGGACAAAGCGTCGGTTCCATCAAACTTACAAAGTCATGTTTTTAGTTCAGCTCTGTGCACGAGGCAGCGCCCGCAAGGACACTAGTGTTGAGGATTGTGCTATTTATTGGTCTTGATCAAATCAGAAGCAGTGAGAAGAGTTTGTGTTCCTGTTCTGTTTATTTTGCATTCGGCCAATCTGTTCTGACTCTTCCAAAACTCTTCATTCACTCTTTTCACTGTCTCACTGCTGACATCAATTTCCCTACTGCACACAAGATTTCATTATTGGTAAAAAAAACGGTTTGGTGGAAGTTTGCATTCTACGCATGCTTTTCTAGTTAAAGCTAAACATACATCAAAAGCACCAAGTGACAAACAAAAATCCACGTCCCGACGGCGAAGAGGAGGCAATCCTCTTTGCTTCACATCACTTGGTGTCCATATACAACTTACTTCAGTGTAATTACAAAAATCATGTCTTCTTTTCTCTTCTCTGACCTTTCAGGTGGCCATTTACAGCTCTGAGTTGTGTAGGAACACATCTAAGGATGCTTGAAAAGGTCAATGAACCACTGCTCAATGTGCCTTTTTCTTTTCTCTAGAACCTGATGGTCAACCGTGGATGAAGACTGAAGACACGGATGTGTGTAGCTATTTGGAATTTTCCGTTGATGCACTAAGGAACATAGTGGTAGTGGTATATATTATTGTTGATTTACTGCTTGATGTTCTATTACTTTTGCACTGCCAAAATATTTCTTTTGGGATTGTATTCATTTAAGCTCCCTGACAATGAAGCATATCAACTGTATCAAAGGCTGAAGCGCATTCGGGGTCATTCTATAATGTTCTTTTCCGTCCAAAAATTTGCTTCTATTCAACGAATAATGTAAGCTCGAATGAAGTCTAGTTTGAAGAGTGATTGCGTTCCTTTGCTTTACTGAAGTGATTTTGTATTTTATAAGCTCAGGTTTGTCCTGGCCATGACTCACATCCAACATGTCAAGGTGGAAAATACAATAAAGGATTTTCTTTACACTTCCTGTATCTCCTGAATTTTATCTGTTCTTTGGTAAATTGGACTTGGGTTTCAGCGCTCTCTGATTCATTTTCACTTTCCAATGATGAATTGATTTGTACAATAAAACTTCTAATCTACTGAGAAAATGTGCGACAGCCAAACTAACCCTAACCCGTTCAAAATGACAAACGCAACAATCGAATTTTCTTCTAGAGAAGTCAGGCCTGGTGTCACTTTCTTTTATCTTGTCCCTTGCTTATTGATTATTTACATCGTAATTATTCAATACCAAATTCAGTATCCAGTTACTGCCATGATACTTGTAAGCAAGTAAGTAATCTTTATTTATATAGCGCTTTTCACAGACCAGACTCACAAAGCGCTTTCCAAAGGTTGTGAGCATTTGTCTCTCACTCCACACATGGGAGCGGGGGTTGCGAGTACAGGAGGCGCACGTCAGACCTATTGTACATGTTTTAGTGGTAGGAGAAACTGGAGCACCTTGATGAAAATCTAAGCAGACATGGGGAGAACATGCAAACTCCACACAGAAAGGTCTGGAGGTGGGATTGAACCCTGGACCTTCTTGTGTAGCACGAGCGCTAACACCTGTGCCACAGTGCCGCCCAATTGTGTGAGAAATACTGAATCTTCCATGACTGTTTTGGTAAGAATTGTTTATTTTCTGTCCCCTCAAGCCTTTTTTGATATACTTTACTTTCCAAAAACGGATTCGCAAAACACACAAAGTCCTGGACAATAAAGAACACCTGATGAAGCATATATACACAAAATCCGTGCAACTCAAAACAAAAAGAATCCCCCAAAGAAACATTGACTAAAGTTTGTTTACAGCAAGGCTTTTATTACAGGACAAAACAAACTCATTTTGCTTTTGTTTCCGGAACGGACCATCAAACAAGTTCTTTTTTCATGCTTCAAGAAATTCTTTAAGAGAGAGGACATTGTCATGCTATCGTAAAACCGCTTCAACGCTCTCTCCGAGTCCCACTCAGGTGTACCCAGGTGTGCCGTAATGTATGCGATTGACAAAACGTAAAAAGTCTGAGCCTCCGCAGTTACTCCGAATAATTCTTCCCCACTTGTACCTCTAAATTCTCCACTGACACTCTGGTAATTGGCTTGGCACGCTGCGTTAGCCATGCACAAAAAAAACCCTCTTTCCCGCACGTATCTACACACATGTACCATCCAATCTTAATAAAGGGAAAGAAGAAATGAAGGGGAGGGGGCTGGGGGTGAGGTGGTCTCCCAGATGTTGCTACGGTAACAGCAGCAAGCCAAGGCCGCGAGCTGGAGCTGGAGACGAGGAAGACGGCATACGTTGAATTCAAATGCCTTGCGCTGTTGATCCCGTGTCATACCCAATTACCAGTGCGGAGAGGCGCGAGTGGGGGCTCGTCCGGTAAAAGGGTGTTGCTGTTAGGGGGGGATTGGGGGGTGGGGGGATTGGGGGGGGGGGGGGGGGGAGTGGTGGCAGGGGAGAGTGTAGTTCTGAATACACAAAGAGGAAGGAGAGATTTGAACCTGTGCTGTGGTAAACACCCACGGCTGTCATTACACGGCTGCGAGGGGAAGGTTGTGCCAAATCTCTTTTTATCTTTTTATCTGGCGCTCCGGAGAAATGTGAGCGGGCTGTGAAGACTCTGTGACGTGTGTAGCAGTCGGCACGAGAGGGGCAAACTAATTGTCAATGTGCCGTGGGAACCCGCGGGGCCGCAGGTTGTGAAACGTGTGGAGTTAAAGCAATAGGATCGTGTGTAGGGCTTCTGGAACGTGACTGAATATCTGGTGAAATTAATAATGTGTTTGTTAGATTTAGACTTGTCCCAAGGGATAGATCTTAACGATGCATGATGAAGCTACACATTATTTTGAAGAGGCAAGTTTATTTGTATAACACAATTCATGCACAGGACAACTCAAAAGTGCTTTACATCAAAAAGAGGGAACATCTGCAGGTAAATTGGAAAAAAATGAAATAAAAACATTACATTGATTTTTATAAGAAAATTAGTCAAATATGTCGTATGCACAGCTTTTATAGAACTTTTTGATTTGAACATTCAAAAGGCCTGCCTCACATTTTCAATAAGATGGATCCAGATCATAACCGGATAAGGGCACCAGCTGGAGGCTATTACCTGTGCACCTCAGAGTCCAAGATGGCTTTTATGACCAGCTACCAAAGCATTTAAATACACTGCTCAAAACAAGTAAACAAGAACACTGAGACACCCCCTCCTAAAACTAAATGGGATCATTCAATCTGTTTTTAGTATTGATTGTGTCAAAGCCAGGCTATGGAGATCTGGTGCCTGCGTTCTATCACTACAGATGCCCCTGAGGGATCTTCTCCAGGCCTTGAAATAGAGTCAGGTCCTGGACAGTCTGTGGTGCCCTGTGAGGCTGGTGGATGGACCTGCCATGAAGTCCCAGATGTGCCTAATTGAATTCACGTCTGGAGAACGAACAGACCAGTCCTTAACAACGATGTCTTTATCATACAGGAACCACACCAGCCACTTGAGGCCTTGCATTAACAAACATCAGACGGAACCTAGGGGCCACTGGGTCTGAGGATCTCATTTGATTCATTGTTGCTATAGCTGGAGGAGACCCATGCTACCTGCAGAAGTTTTCTAGCTCAAAAACATAAAAAAACTCAAGTGCTTAGAATACAACGTTATCTTCCTAATCCTTACAAGTGTTTTTTCTGCTTTGTATACCTGCCTCTTTGCGTGTCACTTTTAAACACACACAGACCCACACCTTCTCACTGACGCTGACATCCACTACCTCCTTCTCTTGTCTCCTCCACACTGCTCCGTCTCGGCTCGCCCCGATTAAACACTTCCACCTCTCTAATGCCATCACAAGTCGGCTCTGCTTAACCCCGGCCGCGTGATGGACCATAGCGGCGTGCGGCTAATCCCTCTGTAGTAGCCCGGATTAGTTCTCCCATTTATCTTTTCTCAGAGCATTACTGTCGCTTCCTCTCTCTTCTCCTCCATCCGCTCTTTCTTTGGCGGCTAATGCGTCGACTTCTGAGTGGCTTAATGCAGTATAATGTGGTGACTGGTCTTTATCTGTCTATTGTGCCGATTGTTTCCCAGGAACAAAAGCCGTCTCTATAGGCTCGAGGCTTTTCCCCGTGGATTGGCAGTTCCCAGTTGGAATGCGTCGCTATTGGCAACCAGGTGTGCAGCCAGGTAAGGAAGAGTGGAAGCACATGTCTTATTAATGTCTACACAAAGAAAACTAGAGTTGAATTGAAAAGATTAGATAAAGCCACATAACCACAAATAATGGAGGAATTATATGATAGAATAAAAAACTGGTTCCCCGCTGTCAAAACAGGTGGTTCTTTCACCAGTTTTCACATGCATGGATTTGTGGTCTCTGTTACGTCTTCGTTTTTTAAGGCAGAAAAGTGAAAACAAGATACCACCCTCACTTAACCAATCAGCTCCCTGCCCAGAGCATCAAACAGTGACTCATAGGGCTTTTAATCCCAACAAATGGTAAAATGATGTGTAGTAAGATAAAGATTTGCCCCTGCTGCTGATTTGCTTGAACTGGTTTACAAGGCTGTTATGAAAACAAAACATATTATTTATCTATTGAAATCTTCAATAAGTTTTTAATATATAAATAATGCATAACTGATGGGGGGCAAACTGTCACTTGTTGTGTCCTTAGGCAAGACACTTCACCCACATTGCCTGGAATGAGTCTGGAGTGTGTGTGTGTGTGAGAATGGTTGGTGGTGGGGGGAAGGACTGGTTGTCTCGCTTCTGTCATTGTGCCCCAGGGCAGCTACAGCAGTAGTTTATCATATGAAGTGAAAGAATAATTACATGTGAAGCATCTTTGAGTGTCTGAAAAAAAGCGTAATATAAATCTGATGCATTTTGAACAAATCGGACAAAGCACTGAGAGTCACAGAGTGGTTGAGTGAAGATGGTTCTCTCTTCTTCACTTTTCTGTCTGAAAAATCTCTGATAATGAGGTGTAACAGAGGCCAAAAACTTAACCAAAGTGTCTGTTGAATTGCATAGCTCCATTTGTTCTGGTGTGAATGTTAGGTGCTCCTGCTTTATTGGGAATTGATTAAGGAGTGGGCAAAATCAACAAAATGAATGTGGCAATTTGAGTATTTGGTAACAATTAAAAATACTGTTTGATTATAAATCATGTGTTACAGAATATTTCAAAATGAATATTCCAATGATTATGTCTCAGAGCCATTAGAATTGTTTGTGTTGGTTTTGCTATAAACTGTACTTATAACGATAAGTTTGTGTAAGCCCTCAGTCGTACAGGGATTAGTCAAAGCAAAGGAAGGTTTCTCACCCATCATCTGTACTTCTTAGCAGGTTTTCCCGATGTTTCGTCCTCAATACAAAGGACTTCTTCAGGGAATGAATTCTCAGACCGCGCATTGGAGATTTATAACCTATGGGTGTGGTTAGCCACACCCTAATCCTGATACTAACTCATAAACAATCTCAGGTCTGCTTGATGTAGAAGGGAGCAGGTCTAACGACCCTGCTGAGGCTAACGACCCTAACTCCTTAGCATGTCACAGACCTATTGTCTGCTGGGATGCTCAAGTGGAGTGCAGGTCTCACCCCTCCTAACTCATTAGCATGTCACTGACCTTGTCCCAAGTTAGGGCGTTGTTTTTAGGATGTCGTCATAGATGCGAGGCAAAACAAATCTTAACCCTCCTCCTCTGTTAAGAGAAGGTTTTTGTTTCCTCACAAAAATGGCTTCTTTCACCCCTCTCTCAAACCAATTCTTCTCCCGAGCCAGAATTTTAACCTCTGTGTCATCCACCGTGTGGTTGGAGGCCTTGAGGTGGAGATGAACAGCCGACTGTGGCCCACTAGTTTTCTCTACGATGTTGGTAAAGTCGTTTCACTTATAACGATTCTATAATTTGTCTCTTTTACATAGGAAAGTCATACTCCAAAACACAAGCTTTATAGATATACCAATTTTTCTGTAATTTGGTAAATTGACACCCCATAGGACTCATTCATACACAGAATACCATGAATTTACCCCCACTACCATCAACCCCAAGACAAACTTTCATAGCTGATGTTTCTTAAGCCAAATTTGCAAAGTGGAAAACTGTTATTGTGATGTTTGAGGAATCAATAATGTATGTGGTCTGTGGTGCAATAACCTTTCTGCGTGTCACTAATAGATTCTTGTGGACAATCCATGCCCACAATCCATCCATCCATTTTCTTCTCCTTTAATCCATTTCTGGGTCGGGGGGCGGCGGTCAGAGCTGCACCCAATCCACAGAGCCCCAGCCCCTCACTGATCCTCCTGCAGGTGCTGAGTCCACAGGAAGATAGCTGCTCTGTCAGTGAGAGCAGAGCCTTCATATATCAGTGGGGGCTTCAGGCAAAGTGGGGTTAAGTGTCTTGCCCAAGAATACATCGACAGCAGACATAGTCGGTGGAGAAGGTTTCGTGGTGGGCTTGAACCCTCAACCTTCTTGCTCTAAGGTGAAGATGACATGTCTGGGATCGTGTCTTTAATTCCGACAGAAGATATGTTTTATTGTCGATGGTAGAGACAGCACGAACCACACGAACACAGAAGGCAAGTGTATTATACAGAGCGGAGGCATGGAGTCCTCCAATCAGCAGCTGCCACAGTGCCATGTAGCTTGGCTTTCAGATAGACAAAACAAGGGAAAAGTACTGGCTTCTGCACATTGATAGAATGATGAGTTTAACTTTAACAAAAGTTGCTTAAAAGTGTTATGAAATCTCACATTCCCCCCTCTGGTCACACATTCACGTGTGACCATCAGGATCGATAAACAGCAACATAACATCATAACTCAATACTTAAACTCGGTACTTCACTCGGTACTTCAAAAAACTAAGAACTCGGAATACTTCAAAAACTCAGAAAACTCATAAAACATGTTCGGATCTTTCATAAAACTTGTCAACAATCTTCAGTAAAATATCAAACTTCATCAGTCGATGGTGGTTCCAGATATTGCTTTGAAAACAGTCTCTCCCACTTCTCCGTGTTGGTTTCTTCAGGCTGCATTTGTGTCGAGCCATGAATTCTTCTGTGACGTGTCTTTCAATCACACGTTTCAGCTTCAGTGTCCGGATTCAGAAATCCAATTCAGTCCAAATGATGTCCAAATTCAGAAATCCAATTGTTCCAAATCATGTCCATGCAAAAGAGGACGGTGGTGTTGTCCATGTCTCAGCAGCTCACAGCCTGACTGGAATCAGGGGCTGTGCAGATTGTCCATGTGCTGGTCCAGATGCATGGTTTCTCTTGAGGTTTTTCAGTTTTGGCTTAAAAAAAAAAACACTTTTTGTGTAAAAAAAAGTAGTCTTCTGTTCACTAGATGTTACAGACAAGGCCCGCATCCTTCCACCACCTGAAGAAGATGACAAAGTCTGGGATCGCGTCTTTCATTCAGACAGAAGACATGTTTTATTGTCGATGGTAGAGACAGCACGAACAACACGAACAACAGAATGCAAGTGTATTATACAGAGCGGAGGCATGGAGTCCTCCAATCAGCAGCTGCCACAGTGCCATGTAGCTTGGCCTTCAGATAGACAAAACAAGGGAACAGTACTGGCTTCTGCACATTGATAGAATGATGAGTTTAACTTTAAAAAAAGTGGCTTAAAAGTGTTATGAAATCTCACAAAGGCCAATGCTCTACTAACTGAGCCACTGTCGCCCAATCCATTAAATTAATTCACTCACGTGCTGTAAGCCGGTAAAGTTAAGTGTTATGTGAGGTTGTTGTGCTGTCAAAACTAAAACTAATTAAGTGTTTACTCCTGTGCTGAATTTGAAGCTCCAGAATCGCGCGTTAAGCTTCCATCTGGGCACAGAGCTTAAGAAGGAACATTGACATCACCATTGTTGAGAATAGAAAGCCAGAATTAACCCTAAATCTGGGTTTCTTCCCTATTTACAAGGCATCATTTTGGAAACAATTTGCTGTTCTTTTGAGCCATAAGTTTGTCACTGTCTCAAAAACTTCCCAAGTAAACTTGACTTTATGCTGAATAACAGTGGTGGCATGGTTCCAGCCCATGACGGTGTGAGTGGCAGGTCCTCTGTTGACACGCGTGACAGAATGGAGCCCACACGGCGAACATGTCATTAACCTGTCATCACTGTGTCCTCCACCACTGGCCCACACACAACCAGCTCTGCACAAGTCTGTCATCCTCATCCTCATACACGTACTGCTGCTGCTGCTCCTCCTCCTACTACTGCTGCTACTACTACTACTATGGCTGCTACTGCTACTACTACTACTACTACTATGGCTGCTACTGCTGCTAATAGGCCGTTTCACCAGGCTCGACTTTACTCTCCGGTCTGCGTTTCCACCGGCTCGCTTTTGCCGTAACCCGGTACTTTTTTAGTAACTGCTTGGCCCTGGTTCTAGCCGAGCCGTGTACCAAAACTAGGTGACATCGGCGAGGATCAATTGTGATTGGCCAGAGGTGCTGTCAATCCCTCTCTAGCTGGTGCGACACTTGTTGCGAAAAACAAGAACAAGTTTTCTCAAGTTTCTCGCTGAAAACTAAGAAGCTTAAAAGTGACTACCGTGAAAAGCTTGAAGGTGGTTTGACCAGATGGACGCCCTTCACGGACAGCGACTAACACCAGCTAACACCGGGAGAGATGCCTCGACTTGACTCTACTCGACTTGTTCCCAACCAAACTCCCCCCACCCCTGCACTAAACCGAGTCGAGTCGAGCCGGTGGAAAGGGCACTTAAGCCAAAGTCGCCAGCTCCTACCTCAGGATTTTCTCTTAGTTCGGACCATGAATCCTCTCTGCTCCGGTCTGGACCAGTGTAAAACCATGAACGCCGTACTGCAGCAACATCT